TGCTACTGGCTGCTCCAGGTGAGCCTCGCTCGCGGCTCACCTGCCCGACCTCCATATCGCGGCGGTGTGACCCGCGATAATGTCTTTCTCCACCCCCCGCGCACCCAACTCCGGCGGAGTAGTTTGCCCTTCTCCGCCCCGCCCGGCCCCCGCGTAATGGCATCAGTCAAGGGCCGTTGCTGCTATTGACCAAGTATGTCCGCTCCGTCCCAGCCGGCCCGGCGGCCCCGGCGGCCCGCCCGGAGACCCGGAGGTTCCCCCCTATCTCCACCCCTTCCCCTCCTCACAGGGCCTAGCTGCACACAATTGGCCGTGGAGGAACTTGCCTCCTCCGCCACGCCGCCGCTGGTATACTCTGCGCAGAGCAAGGTGTTGTCGCGGTCACGGTAAAAATTGGTTAGCCGTATTGGTAAATCAGTAGCTAAAGAGGAATATTTAGCTATGTTTAGCTACTCAATTAAAATTTTAGCGACACAGCTAAATTTTAAGATTTAGAGCTAAATATTTGGTGACACACCTAAAATCAGTTACCTTATATGTAGCTATTGGTTTCGCCGATCCTACTTGTAAATGTACCAAAGTTCATATCACCCCAAGCACACCTTTCTTATCTGCGAACAACCCTTGAAAGGTAACACGGCCTTCCGCCACCGCCATGCGTACGGTGGCGGTGGCCACTTCCCTCATTCACTATTCATGGTATTCAAAAGTGGGAAGAGAAATTCACACTACAGAACAGTACACCTGAAAATCGTGGCCGTGACGGTTGGCTTTTGAACGCCCCCTTCGTCGACCTCGCTTGGCGCGCGCCGCGGGTTGCCGGGTGGCTTCGGCGGCGCTGGCAGGCTGTACGCTTACCTGCTCAGACGTTTGCTCCATCCTTCACTTCAGTCGCTGCCCTTGCTTCCCGGCTGCATGTAAAAACAGACCCCCACCCTAGTAGAGCCCTCCCCCTCCCCGCTCCCTCCGCTCGCTACCGGCTGGCTCCCCCCGTAGCTCCCCCACCTCGCCGGCTACCGGGCCGAACTTGGAGGCTGAACTGGTCTCACCTTTCCACGACACATGATGGATGGTGCGTGGCGAGGCGTGCGGAACTTTAGGCGTGGCTTGGCGGGGCGGGGCGGGGCGGG